GGATGTGTTCTGGGTCTGTATCCTGCTCCCTTGTTTCTACCACTTTATCCTGCTTCTTTGTGTGGACTGTGATGGTCTGTTGTCTCCAAGGCATCTTGGCATTGTTGTATTTAGATCTCTGTTGACTCTTTGTGAAGAGCAGCCAAGGGTGATTCAGGCTCTTCTTGGTGGTTTTTTATCATTGGCCCATTGGTGGAGGAGGTATTGGCTGTCACTCAGTAAGTGAAGTTGCAGGAGGTGTGGGTGCAGTTGTGTCTTATGGGGACTGTTACTGTCTCCCACTCAGTTAGACACAAATTACAATTGAATAACCATCAAAAAACTAAAAGCACATGGACAAAAAACACACCATGTAATCACATAGGAACAGTAACCAAAATAAGAAAAAAGGGAAAAAGAAGAAGAAAAAACAAGAAAACCTGCAATATCTGGGGATAGGGCACTAAGAGAAAAAAGGTAGAGAAGGAGAATGAAGGGGGAAAAAAATGGGAAAAATGCAAAAAGAAAAACAAGGAATGGGGTTAACCATGAGAACAAATGGAGGAAAAAAACAACCTTAAATTAAAAAAATAAACAAATTAAAAAAAATTTTTGTTTCAACCAGGAACAGGGGAAAGAAAAAATGCTGAAAACTAGGACCTGGGAGGAGAAGATTAAGAATAATAGTAAAAAGGACAAAAGTACTAATAAAAAACACACAAATACAAACAAACTAATCACCAGAAAAAAGAAAGCAAAAAAGGAAAAAATAAAAATAAAAAAAGAGAAAAAAAAATCGGTAGAGGACAGGGCAGGGCACCCAGGCTCCGTATGAGCACAGACTGTGGTGGAGTTTCTGTGGGCCCAGAAGGTGGATGGGAGTGGGGGATGGCCGCACTCCTGTTCAGCAAGCGGGTGTGGGGTATAAGAGTAACAAGAGGAATGTCGTACCTTGTCAGTCTTGCAGGTCTGGAGTGTCCTTGGGGTTGCTGGCAAGCAGAATGTGTTCTTAAGCCCCAGGAATCTGCGAGAGCACTGTCTCTTTAAATATCCAAAATAGTCAAGCTGTTTTTAAACATTCAAAATGGCAGCACCCTCTGGACCGGCAAAAGTCCACAGCTCAGCCTGCGTTTCTCTTCACCTTCTCTGTTTATTCCCCAGCCACCAGAGCAGTCCTCTGTGTAGTCCCTGGCTATCAGGGCTGATTTTTAGGTTAATTCTTAGATCCTACCACCATTTGGCACTCTCAAAGCTCTCTGTGCTGTGCCGTCAGGATCGCTGCCAGACCACAGCTCCATCTGTCTCATTTTTTGGTATTTTCATGCAAACTCTTCTGCTAGTTGGGGTTTAGTCCACTTCTATATCCTTCCCTTCAAGGCTCAGGGGTCCAGGATTATCTTCTGTGTCTGTGTTAATTGGTTTCCCTTTTCTTTGTTGAAGAGGGTTCAGTCTTTCTGCCTAGTCTGCCATCTTACCGGAACCTGCAACCTGTGAAGCCTGGTCTTTTTGATGATTCTGAATGCTGTTCTACATTGTCTTCCACTCTGTCCAGGACCTTCGATTGTGATCCTGATCAGAGCTGGTGGTAGAGGTAGCCAGGCACCATCCAGTTCTTCTGGTCTCAGAACCTGTTTTTTTTTTTTTGGCATAAGTTTTTTTTTTCATTGGAATGCTGTGACATTAATGAAAAACTATAGTAAATCATTAGCAAAGGGCTTTCCCCCTAAGAAAGCACTCAGATAATATTCAATACTACTGTTATTATTGGCAGGGAAATAATATCAGAAACATATTACACATACATGTAAGCACATATACTGAAGAAAGATGAGATTCACTGAATTTTAAGAATTTCACTACATTTTACTGCATGTATTATAGCAGTAAACTTTAGGTACTCAAAGATACCATCATCTCAAATGACATCCCACTGACATGCAGAAAGCTTTCATGTTAGGTTTCTTCTTCCAAGAAGCCTTCCCTAATATCCGAAGTCTGGCTTAAGTATCTCTCCTATGATTGATTTTACTCAGCACATCCTCTCTTATACTGCCTTGTTTGTATGAAGTAACGAAACGTCAATTGCTTGTATACTTTTTTTCACTGGTTTACTAGTTGAAGAATTATGTGAAGACATTTTTCCAAAACTAAACATTGAAGTTACCAAGGACCAGTAATTTAGGGGTCATATGATGCAAGAGACATATTGTGGCTGTCAGCACCAGGTCCCACTGTCCTATGTCTAAGACTTCCAGGGAAATAGTCCAGGGGCTTCAGAATGGTCTGACTCTGGAATAGCTCCATTTGGAAAGTTGAGTCCCTGCCTTAATCCCAGAATGACACCATAATGCAGTGTTCACTGACATAAGCATGTTACTCTGCTTGCCACATAATCAGTTTCCCAAGGTCTCCTAGCAGTAGTCTCTGGTAATAACCTTACCTTTAATGTAAACAGGAGCTGCAGGCAGTGCGTCTACCACCACCACCAGCAGAGCCTGAGCTGAGAGGAAACCACAGTGCTCACTACCCTGAGCACCTCTTTCCAATAATATGTTAAAACATGGTGGATTACTATGAAGTTCTAGGAGTACAGAGATATGCTTCACCTGAGGACATTAAAAAGGCTTATCACAAAGTGGCACTTAAATGGCACCCTGATAAAAATCCAGAAAATAAAGAAGAAGCAGAGAGAAGATTTAAAGAAGTAGCTGAAGCATACGAAGTGTTATCAAATGATGAAAAACGGGACATTTATGATAAATATGGCAAAGAAGGATTAAATGATGGAGGGGGAAGTCATTTTGGCGATCCTTGTGAGAATGGCTTCAGATTCCGTAAGCCAGATGATGTCTTTAAAGAAGTTATTGGTCTAAGGGACCCATTTTCTTTTGACTGCTTTGAAGAGTCACTTGAGAACCTCTTAAATAGTCAAAGACGCCACTTTGGAAACATAAGCAGAGGTGTAGACCCCCTTTTCTCTACCTTCAGCAAATATCCAGCTTTTGAGAGCAGATGTCCTTCCCATGACAGAGGATATGTATCACATGGTTCACTGGGACGTGAAGGCCTTACCTCATTCTCTGCCAGGGCATTTGATGATCGTGGGATGGTCAACTACATATCTGTTACAACTCCACGTGAAATAATTAACGGGCAAAATAGCAATACAAAGAAAATAATTGAGAATGATCACGAAAGAGAAGAAGTTGAAGATAATGGTGAGGTGAAGTGCTTCCTGATAAATGGTATGGCAGATGAAGAGGGCCTTGCAGAAGGATGCAGCTGGAGAAGACAGTCATTCAACAACTACTCAAGCAGTCCCAAACATGTACCTCAAGATACTTTTGTGGACAATGATGAGCAAGGTATACCTTGGGTCACCAGCAGCTGGGATCCCTCTGTTTTCGCAGCAGGATTCAAAGAAGGTAGTAAGAGAAAAAAAAAGAAGCATAAAGAAGTGAAGAAGAAGAAGAAGAAGTCAACCAAAAGCAAAAGCTAAATCGACTCTTCAGACACATATGTTCATATAACATTTAAACACAACTGTGTGTGTTTTGGTTATTCAGAGTTATTAAGATTATATTTTTAACATTGTTAGCAGGATTGTGGACATTTGGACTGCCGTTATTTAGGTACGTCAGAAAAAGATGTTTATGTGGTAGCCATTGGTGATGTTAGGACTTCGGAAAATGGTACACTTTTTTTTTTTTTTTAAATTTAGGTTTTGAGCTAAATATTTGAACATCACAGAATTTTTTTTTGGTAGAGTTTAGGCTCTCCTTTATTCCTTTTAACTAAACCTCTGTACAAATTTATAACATATTTACAGCTTCAGGAAGTAAAAATGCATACAGGTTTGGTCTAGACAGTTATTCATGGAATGATTTTTTACAATGGAGGCAAGACTATTTGACTTATAACTTAAAGACACTATAAAAATTGAAATATGAAGTATCTTCTTTACATTTAAATAGCCAGACTTAATCTGAATTTCTCAGAGAAGTCTGGAAGTATCATGTGTGGCAGGCCATTATAAATCACTCCAGATAGGAAACTTTCTATTTTTATTTGGACTCTGTACACAGGATCTACAAATACATCACACTAAAATACCACATTCAGCCATTCTAATTTAGGATCACGGTGGGAGGAAAACAGATGAGTTACACATCAATCAGATATTGAGCAAGTGGTCTGTTCAACACGATTACACCTTGTTGTTGTTGTTGTTGTTATGTGCCGTCGAGTCACCCCTGACTCATAGCGACCCCTCCTTGGGTTTCCGAGGCAGTATCACTACGGAAGTAGGATTGCCCAACCTTCCTTCCGAGGAGTGGCTGGTGGGTTTGAA